TGTGACTGCAATAAAGAAGGCCAATGCTATGCTGGGGATTATTAGGAAGGGTATTGAAAACAGATCAGCCAATATAATAATGCCCCTATATAAATCAATGGTGAGACCTCATTTGGAATACTGTGTGCAGTTCTGGGCACCACACCTTAAAAAGGATATTATAGCTTTGGAAAAAGTGCAGAAAAGGGCAACTCGAATGATAAAAGGGTTGGAACACTTTCCGTATGAGGAAAGGTTAAAGTGCTTAGGGCTCTTTAGCTTGGAGAAAAGACGACTGAGGGGTGACATGATCGAGGTTTATAAGATTATGCATGGGAAAGAGCAGGTAAAGAAAGAGGTACTTTTCTCCCTTTCTCACAATACAAGAACTCGTGGGCACTCCATGAAACTGCAGAGCGGTCGGGTTAGAACGGATAAAAGGAAGTACTTCTTCACCCAAAGAGTGATTAACACATGGAATTCACTGCCACAGGAAGTGGTGGGTGCTACAAGCATGGACAGCTTCAAAAGGGAATTAGATAAGCATATGGAGCAGAGGTCCATCAGTGGCTATTAGCCACAAGGTATAGCTAGGGGCTCTGGGGCAAGTAAGGACGTCCTTCTTCACCCAAAGAGTGATTAACACTTGGAATTCACTGCCACAGGAAGTGGTGGGTGCTACAAGCATGGATGGCTTCAAAAGGGAATTAGATAAGCATATGGAGCAGAGGTCCATCAGTGGCTATTAGCCACAAGGTATAGCTAGGGGCTCTGGGGCAAGTGATGCTCTGTCTTCTTGGTGCTTGGGGGGGGTCAACAGTGGGAGGGCTTCTAATGTCCTTGCCCCACTGCTGGACCTCCTGATGGCACTGGTATTTCTGGCCACTGTGTGACACAGAGTGTTGGACTGGATGGGCCTTTGGCCTGATCCAACATTGGCGTCTCTTATGTTCTTATGTTCTTAAAAGATTACATGTTGTCCTCCCTTACCCCTTGAATCATTGTTAGTCCCGTGTGTATTTGAGTAACTGTAAATCGCTCAGAGCCAGCAAGCTCTGCAGGATTGAGTGATTAATAAATTGAAAGATAAGATAAGATAAGAGCCAATCTGGTGTTGTGGTTAAGTACATGGACTCTAATCTGGGAGAATTGGGTCTGATTCCCCACTCCTCTACATGCTGCTTTTGTGTCCTTGGGTCAGTCACAAGTTCTCTCATGAGCTGTCCTCGAAAAAGTTCCACTGACCTCACAGGGTGTCTGCTGTGGGGAGGGGAAGGAAGATTGTAAGCTGCCCTGAGACTCTGAGTGAAGGGCAGGGTTTAAATCCAATCTCCTCCTCCTCCTTGTCTTCTTCCTCCTCTTCTCATGTAGCTGTGTCAGCAAGCTGCCATGGTGTTCTGTGTTACTTGTATCTCTGTACAGTTGCTAACCCCCCCCCCCGCCTGTTCGCCAGTATTCTACTCTGCTGTAATGCCTAAGCCAAACAACTGGAGGATGTATTGAGGGAGTTCGCTTCACTGCCAGCTTGTTGCTTTTAGAGCCTGGGAACTGCACCTGTGTTATGTCTGGAGATAGCTTGGTTCTCAGGGAATGAGCGCGAAACCGTTTTCGTTCACCCGCCAGCGGGAATGTGACCCATTGGTTCTGTACCTGTTTCAAATCCCTTTATCATGCTTGCTCTAACCGTTTGTAGTCAGTTCTAACAAAGAACGTGTTTGAGTATCTTTCCAATGCTTTGAAATAAAATCTTGCTGTTTAAAACGTGGATTTATTCTCGATGCTTGGGAACCCAACACCATGGAGCATGCTGCCCTGTTGTTCTTTAAAATGTAGGTAGGCACATATGCATGCGCACATGCGACTATGCACCCATGTGTGCACACCTCTGCTCATGCGCACATGCACATATGTGCATATAGGCAAAAACTCCAAAAAACCCCACTAAGTGGCAGAAACGGCTCTGCATGTTCAGACTGCCAATCTGTTTTGCACGTGCTCCCCCTGGTCCAGACATCCGGCCATGTGCAATGAATGCACAGGGAACCAAAAACACCACTTGTGATGTGGTGCCTCTTTAACTCAGCTCCAAGTAATCCTACAATGTGGTGAATATGCCTGGGGAACACCTTATAGATGTGGCTGTGTGACTGCGCCCATTTAATACAGAGGGGAGGGGTGGCTATGTCGGGCCAAACTGCTCATGTGATCATACCCTTTGTTGGTCTTAAAGGTGCCACTGGATTCAAACTTTATTCTGTTGCTTCAGACCAATATGGCTACCCATCTGAATCTAGATACATTGCAAGAGATGGATAAATCTGAACTTTATAAAGATTGATTCACTTATCTTTAAGAGACAAGTCTTACGAGTATGAGTTAGATCTGCTCTACTTCAAGTGCATATTTGGGCCCTTGCAAAGGAGGAAAGCCACCTGTTAGATTTGCCAGGTTGAGGTCAGGAACAACTGAGAAATGTGCCTAAAAAGTGTGTGCCGAGTTTCTTCTCTTCATGAGGTTAGTATTACCTATTTATTAAAAAAGAGGGACAAATTACCTTGGGCAAAGATGCTCGGGAACCAGAGCTTTGTGTGGTCATAGTGAGCACAGTAGTGATACCCAGACCAACGCGGGCAGGTGCAGCATCCATGTTGATCCAGAAGGAGATCCAGGACAGAATAACAATCAGCAGGCTGGGGATGTACATCTGGATCAGGTAGTAGCCCATCTGTCGTTCCAGATGGAAACGGGCTTCTATGCAGGTGAACTTGCCTGGGAATGAGATGAAGTTCAATTAAAACATTAGCCGGGGTAGCTAACCTTTTTTGGTCCAGTGCTAAAAAATCCAAAACCAAAACAAACAAACAAAAACTGTCAGTGCCTTCCTATGAATAAACTGGTGTACTAGCAAACAAAAGAGAAGAAGAGAGGAGGTTTGTACCTGGCAAGACATACTGGGAGCAAGTTCAGCCCCTGTGGTGCTTTCAGAGTGGTACAGGTTTCCTTTGGTCCCTTGGACAGAGAACCACACTGTGGCTGATCGAAATAGTTTGGCATGGGGAGGTAAGCTGTTTTCTTTATAAGATATATTTTTGTCACATTTTTCCTTATTTTTGCAAATATAACTAATTTACTTCCCCTGGAGGGTTTTTTTGCTATATTCTTCCCATGTTTTTCCTTTGTTTGGAAGCAATTTAATCAAAAACCTAATATTTTAGAAAGTAAAAAAAAGAGCAAAATTAACTATCATAGCCAATATTGTAATTTTTTCATGCATATTTATAAATATAATGGAATCTTCATTAACTCTGTGCCTCCATTTCATCTGAATTTACTATGTGTCCTGTAGGGAGCTTTATAGCAACAAAACTGAAATGGTGTTCTAAAATTGTAATCATCTGAGCACGACCATTCTTTAAGGCACAGTTAGGTATTATAAGAGACAAGGCGCTGTTATTAGCTTTGTGTCTCTTTCTCCCCACTTCTTGTGTACAGTTATTAGAATGGGGTTTCATCACACTGTGTGTTTCCTCAACCCTCTCTCAGCATCATTGGTTGCTGGTGAAGCTAAGGAAATAAATGTGATGACATCATGGTATTTTGCCAGAAAGGAAGGAGAAATCTCACAGAACAGTAGCGGTTCTGTGTCTTTTGTGATATGCAGCTCAGTTTTTACATCTATTCATTAAAAAGTTGTTCTACATTACATTTTGATCTGCTCTAATGGTCTGGCTAACTCTGCTTTCAATTAGATGGCTCATCAAACAGGTTGAACACTCTTGGTTCGTAATTGAAGAGAAGTGCCCAATAAAATGTACGGAACCTGAATTCTGATCAGTTGATTATTATTAAGAGTAAATGATTAACATATTTCTGTAATTACTGACCTGTATTGTAATGCTTAGTGCAGTAGCGCAAGTCTTTTTCTTCCTTGAGGATGAACTGAGGCAAAGTTAACCCATCAGCAACCTGCACCGCTCCGTTCTCTTGCCACTCAAATATCAGATCATTCATTGTGTAGCCAACTGTGGAGAGCAGGGAAACAGAAAAAAAGAGATACCATCACATACATTGAGATAGATTCTATCAGTCCCATTTTACCTCTACAAGGCTATGCCGAGCATCGGGGGCCTATGTGGACAAAAGCCATGTGTCATGATGGGGCTGCTTTGCAGAGGGAAACTCAGTTAAAATCATCAAACTTCCTTGCACTAGGGGAAAAAACTGGTCGCATTCAAGGCGCTCAAAACAAATACATGGAGGGGAACAGCATTATGCAAAGACCAGCCCAGAGCTGTAAAACGAGAACCTTCATGTGACAGACAGGTCTAAGTCCATTCCTTCTCAGCCAGTTCTCTTTTCATCCTGCTGGTACAATGGAGAACCCAGAAACAACCAATCAGGGCCTTCAGAAACCTCCGATGGAGAAAAGAGGGGGAGTTTACAGGAGGGAGAAGAGGAGCATTTAACTGACATCCTGGTCAGGTAGGGGTTAGACATTCGGATGGGCAGGTTAGAAGTAGCTCTATCTCATAGTCTCTTCAGGAAGACACAGGCTGAGCCTAGTGGCCCGGAGGGGCACCCATTGGCCAGTAAGCTGTCAAACTCAGTATTCCCCTCAGTAGGACTCTGAGGGGCAGGTATGAGGTCTGTGTGGTAAAAGCTTCAGAAATCTTAAACTAGACTGGAAAACCTGAGAGGAAATTGCCTGTTTGATCCTCATATGGTAAACTGGAAGTTTCTGGCCGACTCCATCTCTATAATGGCTTATCCTATACAGTGAAACTGTTTCTCCTGGTTAAGTCTACAACTATATACAGTTTATTTGTGTACATTGAATCCTCTATTTCTTTCTACAGGAAAATAAATAAAGTTCTGTTTTTGTTTACCCCTGGACTCCTCCTTAGTATATATGAGTAGACAAGGATATAATGGGTTAAATACCAGGACAGGGGAGAGTGTCTTCACAGCCCGCCAGAGGCAGGTGTAAACAGCTTCAGTTATTTACCTCACAGGTGGCAAAGATCCAGTGAATCACAGAAGACCAACATACCAGGCCTGTTCGTTATCAAGTCTTTGGACTCCATGTTATTTAAGTTTGCCTGGTGATGGGGCATAGTGGCACGGGGGTTAGTCCTCTAATATTCACCAACTACCAAAAAGAGGAAACTGGCACTATATGAAGTGTGAGTTTTCACAGCCAAAATAGTAAAGGCCTCAAGACTGCACTCACACACTGAGAGAGAACTAACAAGACCTACTCAAGCTACACCAAACAAATATCACATCTAGGTAGGCACATATTGCAGCCTTACATAAATTCAACATGTAATGGGGAGGAAGAGAAAGAGAGATGTTGGATATGAACATCTGTGACTGTGGGTTAATTTAAATATAGCCCAGGCTAGCCTGATTTCATTAAATCTTGGAAGGTAAGCAGGGTCATCCCTAGATAGTATTTGGAAGGGAGCCCACCAAGGAAGTCCAGGGTTATGACTCAGAGGCAGGCAATGGAAAGCACCTCTGAACGTCTCTTGCTTTGAAAATCCCATGGGGTCACCCTAATTCACCATTTCAGTTTTCTGAAGGTCTGCTTTCTCCTGCGCTCTTTCTCCTTTGCTGCCCCTTACGCCCATAAAACTACCTGCCAGGACAATTGCGTGATGTCTCCTCTCTCAAGTCCTTCAGAATCTCCTTTTCCCATGATGTCCTTGGCAAGACTCCTTAGTTTTCTTCTCCTACTGAAACCAGGGTTGCAACAAAGCATACTTTCCAGTGAGTAAGCCCCTTGAAATAAAGTTGGAATTACTTATGGATAGACCCTCTTAGGATTGTCCTGTTTTTCTATGAATATATAAATAGAATGGATGCATATTCTTCTCCCTCTTTCACCAACTCCCTCCCCTACGTTTCATTGTTTTTCTAGGCTTAATTTTTAGATGGCATGTTCTTTGAGGCAGGGACTTATCCTTTTCTCCTCTGTAAAGTTCTATGCACATTATTATTACTATTACCATTATTACTATTACTACTGCTACTACTACTACTATTACTGATGGATTAGATGGGGAAATGATAAATGGTTAATGTATCCTACGGTCTTTTTCAGACACAGAGTTTCCCCCACCCCAGAGTCTTCTTCAGGGAGAATCTGTTGAGGAAAGTTAAATTGAAGTTGGACAGCATCAACTGGGAGCTTTATCGAAAGAGCATGAAAACGTGCACATGACACACATGCTGTTCTGATGCTTTATCCCTTCATTTCCCCCTCCAGTTTCTCTTCCATAATTGGAGGATTCAGTTAACAGATGAACAGATGATATGGTGCACGTGTGTGTTTGTGTACATGTTAGGAACAGTTAGTATTTTTAGAAAGGAAACCTTCAGGACTCACAGCTCTCTAACTGCATGATACATGTCTGGACATCCATGGGAAAGTTCTTCAGATCCATGGGGCAAGCCAGTGTCAGGGTGATCCTGAGAAGTAAATAGAGACAATGATGTAGATATATCTGACTGATCTAACAAATTACATTCAAGCCATCAGGATAACAGCAACTTCACTGAGAGAGAATAATTATGATCACTTACAAAGGTAGGAAAGTTATATAGAAAATACTATCTCTTGAAGAAAATATAGTATTGTACTGTGCTTCTTACGTCTCTGAGCTGCAAGATATTCTAGGGGGGAATTCCATCTGATATAAGTCGCAATCCTGTGTCTACCTAACTTGGAGTAAGATTTACTAAACATACTGGAACTTACATCTTAGGAAATATGCAAGGATCAGGCTGTTACAGAACAATCCTGAGGAAGGAAGGGTTCTGAAAGTGCACAGGGAGCAGACTAACCCCTACACAAGTATATTTCTGACATGCGGGCTAGCAGAAGGCCCAGGAGTTGCTCCACCTCCGCCAGGGGCCAGCATGGGAACACTGTACAGCAACACTCATTCAAGCCGCTGCACCAGTGGGAGAAGAGGTGGGCCCAGGGGCATGGCAGGAATGGACTGGCTCCCTAAACTGGCCCAGCCTGGGAACATCCCCCAAAACTGGCAGAAGGTTATGCCAGCAAAAACCTCAGTGTAGCTAATAGGCCCCTGTGCAGTGGAAAAGGCCAAGTCCCCCCAACCCCTGGAGGAGTGCAAGTTGCCTTCTACAGCTTCAGGTAATCACTTCTTCCTCAGAGGTGGCCAACCCAATCACAGTACCCCCCAGCACTACATTAACCCCAGCCAGGATGTGCCATAGTTCAGTTCCTAGGGTGTGTGGCACAGGACTTTGTCTCAGAGGTCTCTGTTGTGAGCACGTAGAGTGCACTAGGGCTGCCCCGCCCCCAAGCCCCAACACCCACAGCCAACCCTATTCCTTCTCTCTTGCTGCTTGGAGATTGGGTGGGCGGGGCTCTCCGACTGTGGGCACTTAAAGGGGTCCCTTTAAGTGCATGCAGCTGGTGGGACCCTCCCCACGGGGGCAGGTCTTGGAGCCGGGATGTTCCCCAATGTGACATCATCATGTTGGGGATGCCCCACCCCCTCTGGGAATGCCCCCCCCCCAAATCCCATGCCAGGGACGAAGATGGACCTGGCAACCCTAGAGAGCATATTGCACTTTGGTGGTGGGAGAGGCATAGAGAGAGCTCTTAGTATTACTGAGAGAACACTAAGATAGTACTAACACCCAAGGGAAAGAGCAACGTCCATGTTGTGTAGTTAACATGTCTCATTTCAGAACGATAACAGGTACTCCATCTCTAGAAGTTCAACCCCAAGGGGCAACCAAGCACTGACAGGTGAGCAGGGATGCAAATCCAACCACCCTGGCCTAAGAGTCTGGACCTGCCTCCGCTATTTCTCTCACACAAGCCCAGGTGCTTTCCCAGCAATGGTGGCTCCCACAACTAAGGCCAGCATTGTGTGCATATGGGCACGAGCTGAGCCAGGCCCACCCAGCACTGTGCCCTACATCAAGGGGTGGTCTCTGGGTCCCACATTCTCCTACAGCACTGCTGGCATCTGATAAGTCATGTAGTTTGTCACTGCAGAAGCAGGGGACCCAAGGTGGACGCAAGGGAGCTGCTGTCATGGTTGCAGCATAGAGGGGTTGTAAAGCAGCATCCCTGCCAAAATGATGCCTCTCTGGGGTGGCCCATCAGCTGGGCTGTCCTTTCCCCCCTTTTGTGGTTTGTGGGGGCAAAACATCAGCTCTGATGCTTTTGGCTGCTTCTTGCCTCTCCCCTTGTGGGAACCAAACCAGGACCCCTGGCCATGCTATCCCAGGGCCTTTCCACTGAGTCATGCCTGTCTGTGCAGTGGTCTCTGCCTGGTCCCATGTGGCTGGTGGTGATTCCAGGGCTGCAATGGAGTGCCTAAGGCCTGATGGCCTACCTCCTTTGGACCTGTCCTCTTGGCCCAGTGGTTGGGTTGCTGGCCTCGGGTGTGGGGGCTGTGGGTTTCCACCTGCCCTATTGTCTTCTTTTCTATTTCTACTTTTTGCAGGAAGGTGGTGTGGAGCTCAGAGCAGGGATGTGGGCACCATATTTGCTGCCAGTCAGGCCCTCTCTGAGGAAAGGTTGCCCTTCACCTATGGACTGGGGGGAGGGGGCGGTGTTCAGGCCTCATGAATCTGTTGGGGTTGCACTGTTGCTGGGTCGTTGCTCTCTGTCCACTGTCTCTCTTTAAGATGTGTGTGTGTGTGTATGGCATCAAGGGGCAGAGGCTGCATTGGTGGGTAGTGATTGGCTGCATCTGTGTGTGCCACTCACAGGACTGTCATTGGCTGCCATTGTCTGATTGGTGGGGTTGCCTGCTATGTCATTTGTGCCTTTCAGAGGGGTATATGCTATTTTACCCTGTTGGAATGAGCATAGGGAATGGAACAGAAGAACTGCTTTTGCATTGGTGGCCAGCAGGCTGTAGCCCAATAGTTTCCTTTTGATAAGAAAGCACTAAAAACTCCAGCTATTTACTTACATAAAAGCAGAGCATAAACAATGGCAAGGAGATCCTTTAACAAGGCTGCAGGTATGCCGCCCTGATTGGATCCCAGGGGTAGTGCCAGCATACTAATATGCTTCACCTTCAGCCAACTCATAATTGTCTGACTCTACTTCTCATTGGTTTCAAAATTCCCAGCAGTCATTTCTTACACATAATCTGCCAAGCATATCTCAGCCCTGCAGCTCAAGAATCATCCACAGCCATTAAAAAAATAAGGTACTTAGGTATCAAATCCTGAACACCTCACTGGAGTTATTTTACAGTTATTTTAGACAAAACCATAGTGATCTATTCATCTGTAGTAACCAGGCACCAAAGGCTCAATTGTAATTCCAAATTTTTCCACAATTTCTACTACTACTGCCTAATACTTAGGCACCCCCCACATAAATATTATTTCAGCACATACAAAATCAGCATATCCAGGAGGCTAGGGTACCACCTTCCTCTTGAGATGTTTATTTTGTGTGTACAAAAATTATCGCTAAATAGGAGAATATTCAAAATTTGCAGCCTTCCACCTGTGGTTTTATGTGGTACATAAATAGGTATATCACATGCGACAACTGATCAGGGATGCCAGTTGCCACCTGCAGCAGACAACCTGTAACTCCCACTGGCTGTCACCAATGCTCAAACAAATGAGTGGTGGCAGAAAAGGGAATGAGATTATGTCATGGATACCATGTCTGTGATGTTCTAGGGATTTCTCCACTCTCTATGGTCTTTACTATAGAAATCAGCAGAACTCGGAGTGCTGCTGAGAGCCATCATGGGCCTCTGGGCAATAATTCCACCTGGGCCCCTGTATGACCCTGATCCAAACCATGTGTCATTTTATATCTGTAAAGGTAAAGGTAAAGGTTTCCTTTGCTCGAAAGCCAGTCGAATCTGACTCTAGGGGTACGGTGCTCATCTACGTTACCAAGCCGAAGAGCCAGCGCTGTCCATAGACGTTTCCATGGTCATGTGGCCACCATGACTAGACACCAAGGCGCACGGAACGCTGTTACCTTCCCACCAAAGTGGTACCTATTTATCTGCTTGCAATTTCCTGCTTTCGAACTGCTAGGTTGGCAGGAGTTGGAGCCAGAGATGGGAGCTCGCTCTGTCATACGGCACTCGGGATCGAACTGCTGGACTACCAACCTTCCGATCTGCAGTTCAGCATCTTAATCACTTGAGCCACCGCAGCCCACTTTATATCTGTACACACACATATATGTGTACCAATACAGGACACATCTGACAAAGTCGGCTGTAGTTCAAAAAAACTTTGTATCACAATAAAATTTTGGTAAAGCATATCAGTAAGAAATCTATTTCAATTTACCCTTGTACCTGTACCTAGTGCTGAAGCTGAGGCAAATTGGGTTATGTAGTGGTGCTGGATGAGAAGTGCTGGGATCACTGGGACTGATTTTGCTGACATGTTTTCTAAAAAGATTATGTCATTTGTCATATAACATGAAGCTTAATGTCTACAGTAGTAAAGCAGCGTTTCAAATGGATATTAGATGTCCTGCTAATAAAACAACAACCCACTGCCTGAACAGTGTTTAAAATGTAATTAAAGCTACTTAAGGGGGGAGGAGTTTTAACTTCTGTTCCACATGTGTAACCCCTACAAAGAATCTTCTCCCTCCAGTGCCCCCTCTTGGTGGCTCTGAGAACTCCTAGAGAGTCCTTGGCCAGGTGATAGGGTTGCCAGGTACTCCCTGGCCACTGGCAGAAGATGGCGAAGTAGGGTTTCCAGATCCAGGTTGGGAGGCTCCTGGAGATTTGGAGATGGAGCCTGGGGAGGACAGTGCGGTACAATGCCATAGAGTTCATCCTCCAAAGCAGCCATTTTCTCCAGGGGAACTGGCCTCTGTAGTCTGGAGATGAGCTGTAATTCTGGGGATCTCCAGCTCCCACCTGGAGGCTGGCATCCCTACATAGGGATGCTCCCCCCCTCCCTACACTCTGCCCTCCAAAAGTTCCTGGTGATTGCTGGCAAGCCTTCTGACCATTCATGGCTGGATGAAGACATGCTGAAGCCCTAAATTATGTCAAATTTAAGAAGCCTCATAGCACTACCCAAAGAATGGTAATTTAGTAATTTTTAAGTTTTTAAAACTTAGAGGTCCATCATAACATGAGGTCCAGAGAAGCAGCTTATATATATATATCCAGATCTGTGATCATGTAATGTCAACTCTCAGTTGATGAGAAATACTCACCACACAGTATTAAAGGAAATTGTGAAGGCTATCAATGCCAAAACCCAGACAGGCCCATTTCCCCATAGCACAAAGCATTTTGGGTAAATGTATAACAGGTAAACCTAGGCTAGATGTGCCTTGTTTTGTTTGAAACCCTAAGGATGCTTATTGTAACACAGCCCTGAAAAGTGAAGATAGGTAGTTTTATTCCTTGAGAGGTACCTTTTTTGACCAGGTTTTGGGATGCAGCAGCTGGAACCTGGTATAAAGAGCT